GTTGGACAACAAGGTGGATTTACTTCGTCTGAGAGTGGGCGCCTCAGAAGAGATGAAGAAGTGTGCAGTGCTTTGCCTCACGGAAACGTGGATTACAAGTGAAACGCCGGACTCAGTCTTCCAGCTGGATGACACTTTTTTTTCGAGCGGACCGCTGCAGCGAGCTAACGGGGAAATCACGGGGGGGCGGAGTGTGCATTTACGTGAGTAAAAGTTGGTCCACGAACTGTACTGTTGTAAATAGCTCATGCTCGAAGGCTTTGGAGCAAATAACATTGAAATGTCGGCCACATTATCTACCCCGAGAGTTCACTGTGACTTTTATCACAGTTGTTTACATTCCTCCGGACGCTAATGCTAATGAATCACTACAGGAGCTACATGATATCATCAGCTCGCTGCAGAACAAACACCCCGAGGCTCTTTACGTTGTAGCCGGAGACTTTAACCACGTGAATCTAAAGGACTGTCTCCCAAGCTTTAATCAGCATGTGACGATTCCGACACGTGGAGACCGCACGCTGGACCGTGTTTACACGAACGTAAAAGATGCATACAAAGCCGAACCCCGCCCCCACCTAGGACTGTCAGACCACATCTCAATCTTCCTGGCTCCTGCTTACATGCCCCCGCTGAGACGCTCCAGACCGGTTCAAAAGAAAGTTAAATGTTGGATCCAGGACAGTGGCCCCATACTGAGAGATTGTTTTGACCGAACAGACTGGCAGGTTTTCAGAGAAGCTGCTGAAAATGGAGGTTCGCTTGATCTTGACCAATACACATCCTCAGTACTGGGTTACATTAGTACATGTACTGACACAGTCTCCACTATCAGAAATGTTAAAAGCTACCCAAACAGAAAACCTTGGCTGAATGCAGAGGTGCGTACCCTGCTGGAAGCCAGGAACACTGCCTTCAGGTCTGGAAACTCAGAGGAGCTGAGTAGGACAAGAAAAGAGCTGGTTGCTGGTATTAAGAGGGCCAAGGCCACATATGCAAAGAGGATCGAGGGTCAATTCATCTCACAAGACCCTCGGAGCATGTGGAGGGGCGTTAAGTGCATAACAGATTATAAAGGAAGGAGCGAACAATGTCCCAAAGACCCATCTCTGCCTGATGCCCTCAACAAGTTCTATGCACGCTTTGAAGACCCGAACAGACCACCCAGCACCAGACTCACCTCGCCACCGGATGAAGAGCATCTCAGCGTGACCTCAGCAGAAGTAAGGAGTACCTTCAGGAGGATTAATCCGCACAAAGCAACTGGCCCAGACAACATCCCCGGAAAAGTGTTGAAGGAATGTGCTGATCAGCTCTGTGAGGTGCTGGCAGACATCTTTAACACCTCACTTACACTGGAGACAGTTCCCACCTGCCTAAAGACTGCCACCATCATCCCAGTCCCAAAAAGCTCTACAGTGACTGGTCTGAATGACTATCGGCCAGTGGCCCTCACCCCGATAGTCGCTAAATGCTTCGAAAAACTGGTCATGACTCACATCAAAACAACCATCAACATCAACGAGGACCCTCATCAGTATGCATACCGTGAGAACCGATCAACAGAGGATGCAATCTCCTCTGTGGTCCACACTGCACTCAACCACCTGGAGCAGAAAAACTCTTACGTCCGTATGCTCTTTGTGGACTTCACATCCGCCTTCAACACCATGATCCCCCAAACCCTGATGGACAAACTATCCACACTAGGACTAAGCCCCTCCATCTGCAACTGGGTACTAGACTTTTTAACAAACAGACCACAGTTAGTGAGGATCCACAACCTCTCCTCCTCCACCATAGCCCTCAGCACTGGCTCTCCTCAGGGATGTGTGTTGAGCCCCCTTCTGTTTACTCTGCTCACATATGATTGTGCGGCTGCCCATCCAGGCTGTCACATTGTAAAGTTTGCAGATGGTACAGCGGTGGTGGGATGCATCACAAACAATGATGAGTCCAGCTGCGGGCAAGAGGTGGAACACCTGGAGAGCTGGTGCAGAGAGAATAACCTTCACATCAATGTGAAGAAGACAAAGGAGATGATTGTGGACTTCAGAAGGAACAAAAACACCTACACCCCCCTGAACATAAGAGGATCTGCGGTGGAAGTGGTCTCCAGCTACAAGTACTTGGGTGTACACATGAATGACAACCTCAGCTGGAGCAACAACACCACCAGCCTGATCAAGAAAGCTCATCAGAGACTCTACTTCCTCAGACGGCTGAGGCGAGCTGGTCTGGGAAGCTCAGTCCTCACCTCCTTCTACAGGTGTGCAGTGGAGAGCATCCTGTGCTCGAGCATCAATGTGTGGCATGGAGGCTGCACAGCTGCAGAAAGAAATGCTTTGCAGAGAGTGGTGAAGGCTGCACAGAAATCTGTCGGAATCAGCCTCCCCACCATCACAGACATCTACACCTCCAGATGCAGGAAGAGGGCCACCTGCATCATGAAGGACCCCACCCACCCAGCACACACACTTTTTGCCCCACTCCCCTCAGGAAGGAGGTTAAGGAGCATTAAGTGTAGAACCACTAGACTGAGGAACAGCTTCTACCCTGAGGCTGTTAGACTCATGAATCTCTAACTAGAATAATCACTGTGAAAAACCATATCATGTTGCTGCTGATCTGTTTCATGTTGCTGCTGATCTGTTTCAATGTTGATGTGTTCATGCGTGCACATCTGTTCACAGACTCATGTTCATGTTTGTGCTGATGTTCAATGTTTTATGTTATTAGTGCTTAGTGTATATTTAGTTGATGTTTTTCTTAGTTCATATCTTAGATGTCATTACTGTTTTTCTTATACATTTTATTGTTGGATGTAACTGGGACCCTGCGTACATAATTTCGCTCCACCACATGTACCACATGAGGTGCGAATGACAATAAAGAAACTCTGACTCTGACTCTGTAATGAATGCATGTATTGCTGTCTCCAGGTTATTTTTGGACAGTATGGGCTTCAGTTTAGACAGCCGCCTCAGTTGGAAGAAACATGATTTAACAATCATGTAAACATGATTGTTAAGTTTCAGGGAAGGGTCCATTATCACTCCCAGATTAGTGACTCTTTGTTTTTCTGACAGGGTTAGAGCAGAGAGGTCGATGCAGTGGTTTGTGATCGTGTCGTTGGGAGGGAACAACATGACTTCAGACTTCTTTTCATTGAAACTTAAGAAGTTTAAAGCCATCCAGTCCCTGATGTCAGCCAGGCAGTTGAGCAGCGGTTGAACAGAGCATGTACCATTGTGTCTTAGGGGGAAGTAAATTTGACAGTCATCGGCATAGAAGTGGAAGTGCATGTTGTGTTTCCGGAAAATAGCACCAAGCGGCAGCAGGTATAAAGAGAATAGGAGGGGACCCAGGATGGACCCCTGTGGAACCCCCCATTTAAGCTCTGCCTCTGCGGAACTAAAATCCTTGATGGAGACACAAAAGGATCTGTCATCTGTCAAAAGGATCACAATTATATGATAATATGGCTTGCCATACTTCCACCAGCCGCATGTGGCTATTATCACCGCACGCTGACAGACCCTGAAAAAGGTAAAAAGTTCAGTTAAGCTTCAGATGGGGCTACAATGCCAGGAAACGATCCATCACCCAAATGGACGTTCATTCAGCCGCTACACTTAGCGGACAAGCGCGGCCGATGACCCAAACAGGTGAGATCCCAAAGCAGACGTGTCAAAGCAGGGCCCGTGTCTGAATAATGCAGGCAGAAACAGAGTTTAAATGCTCTTTTACAGCCATGAAAGGACAAACACCCCCTCCTCCGATCTTCTGCATCTGTTTTTATTCAGCCGCGCATTTCCAACTGTTAATATCCAATTTAAAATGCCGTTTTTTTTCCGGGTTTGGACCTATAATTACTATTAAATCGTCAGGTTGGGTGGGGTTCAGAAATGATGACTGCGGGCTGGGGCCGAGTTGGATTGGATTTTTTGGGCCCGAATGCAACTCTACTAGGGAGGCGCCCAGGGAGCATCCTTACCAGATGCCTGAACCACCTCAACTGGCTCCACTCGATGTGGAGGAGCAGCGGTTCTACTCCGAGTCTCTCCCAGATAAATGAACTTCTACTCCTAAGGGAAAGTCCCATCTACCCTGCAGAAGACAAACTAATTTAACCACATGTTAACAAGTGCCAACATAAAAACTAAACATAAAAACTGAACTGTTTTCTGTTGGAACTCTTCAGTCAGCTCTTTTCGCTTAAACACTCACAGGCATCAGACAGGATGGAGGAGGGAAAGCCCTTTCCTACAGTGATGGCTGGAAAGCAGGTCTGTGTCAAAACATTTGGACTTCATACCCATCAACATTTCAAGGTGTGTGTGTGTGTGTGTGTGTGGGG